CTCTCTCTCTCTCTCTCTCTCTCTCTCTCTCTCTCTCTCTCTCTCTCTCTCTCTCTCTTCTCGCGCGCGCTTTCTCGTGTCTCCGTTTCCGCTACCTTCGTGGCGTTTCATAATCGATGCAAGGAAGCCCTTGGTTCGCCAGCGTCGCGTGCCCACGCGTTCCACCGCGGCCACCTCGATTCGACGCTCGAGCCGTCGATCGACACTCTTCGTTTTTCTTCGTAAGACACTCGCAATAAAAAAAAATGCGCCCATCTCGGATATTCCTCCTTTCTTCGTGTTTACGTCATAATCTCCGTCCATCGTCACTCACTTACCCCGTTTCCCCGAGACTGTGATACCAGGGGATCCCTTCTCCATCACCTTATCCCTTTCCTCGCTCTCTGAAACGCTCTCACGCACTCTCTTTCTTTCTCTCTCCATCGGGCATCTCGCCCTCCTCACGCCCACGGCTCTCCCCTGGATCTTTTCTCCCTGCTGTCCACCTTTCCGATCCTCTTCCTCATACTTTTGGCCGCGCCTCGTTTTCTAAATCTGTCTATCGGAGACCCTCCGTCTCCTCCGCTTCGGAGGATCATCCTCCGCGCGAGCGCGCGATCCAACGCTCTCCTCCGCCTCTCTCCTCACGAATCCTCCGCGAATCTACGTCTCGGCTTCGGAGCTCGTCCTCCTCTCTGTCTCTCTTTCTCTCCCGCCTGTCTCCTTCACCCTCTTTCAGCCTCTCTATCCCGGCCCCTCTAACTCACCTTCTCTCTTTATCTGTCTCTTTATCCCTTTCTCTCTCTTCTTCTTTCCTCTGTCCCATTCTCGTTATCTCGCTCCCGCGACCGCCGGCCTCCTCGGGCCCTCTCCTTCGCACCTCCTTTCTCCGTTACGGTACGATCCGAACGGCGGAGCCGCGCCGCTGGCGGCACGGAAAAAAGGCGGCCCTAAAAGAACTTCATATTTTTTATGCTCTGACAGCGACTTGGGTGGTCCAAAATGGCCGCCAATGATGTAATATAGTGCTCTCGCTGCGAGAGGCCCTCTTTCCTCTCTCTCTCTCTCCCTCCCCCCTGCCACACTCTTCCCTCGCGTCACGGCAGCGTATATAGAGGTAAATCCACCACCTCTCTCCTCTCTCTTTCTCTTTCTGTCTCTCCCATTCGCTCCCTCCGCCTCGTCCTCCACCGCCACCGCCGCCGGGCCCAACCAAGCGGACTCCCTCCGAACCTTCCCTCTCCCTGTCTTCCTTCCACGAGAAGAGCACACCTAAACCTTAACCACCTACTCCTAACCGCGCGTGTTTGTCGGATCCCATTGCCGGGCTCTCCCGGGGCATGTAATTACCCGAGGCACGATGTCTTTCGGCTCTTTTGCTCCTCGACCCGTATCTTTTACCACTCCCCGTTTGTCCGCTTATGTGGGAAAACCGCGGGGCGGCGACGTATAAATTTGTTGCCGTGTATGGCGGTTGACAACGGCGGCGAGGGCCCGACGGGACGGGATGATGCGCTGCTCTTGTACGTGTGTAATTTACAAAGACCCAACGCTACCTGCCCGAATTGATGCCCCGACTGAGGATAGAGCGGGCTCTACTGGAGTTTTTTCTTTCTCTCTTTCTCTCTCGTTTCCCCTTATCGCCGCTGAAAGTCGAAGAGGAAATACGAAAGCTAACTTGAAGCAAACGTCGATCGGTCGCAATAATCACGTCGGGATACCTCCTCCATTTTGCACGCATACGTTCATTACAGAACGCAATGATTGCAAGTCGCACTCTTCCCGTCAATTTCAATCATACATCCAGATAAATCCGCGAGTCTGTCGAATCGAATTTCGTAACTAAATATTTCAACAATCAGGTAACTCTCCAAATTTCTTGAAGTAAAATCTCACTAAAAACGAGTAAAAAATATTTTCCCTCAAGGCGATAATGAAACTACTGCCACTCGAAATCACAAGAGTGAATGTTTCACGCAAGCTTAGAATAGACCCCGCTCGATACGAGTGAATGTTTCAATCGAGTGAATACGTGACAGTTCAATATAGCCAGTTGTAAATCGGTTTGCATATCGAATAAAATTACAACGCCTCAAGTTGTCGGAATCGAAAGCCACGTGTTGACGTGTATGCGTAACAATCGGAGTGACACACAATTCAAAATGTGACATTTGTGAAACTCGAAGAATTTATTTTTAATTGAGAGAACACATGTTATCTTGAGAATTTTTATATATTTATAACTGATCACTGCGCGAATACATATCAATAATGACATTTAATTCCGACAACTCGAAGCATAGCACAACTTTACTCGACAAAATACTCTGTGTGCAAAACAATTTGCGACCGACTGCACATCGGATTCACTCTTCAATCTGTGAAAACATTCACTCGCTGACTCAGAGTGGAGAATTCGCTCTGTACGAATGAAAAGTCGCTCCGATTCGGTGACCAGTCCGTTTCCCAAGTGAAATTTCGCTCCAAGAAATTAAGAGAATTAAAATCGTCAAAATGTTTCAAGTCACTTAACACATATTAAATTAAAATGTATACAAAAAGTGCAAAAAAAGATGCGACCAAATTGCACGTTTATACATTCAAAAATAATGCACCTGCACTCGTGATTCGCCGAATTGTCGGCATCAAAAGTCCGCCGAGTTTTAATATATCATCGTCGCACGGCCGGCCATCGCGCATCTACGATCCCGACCTATTACCGGGTCGTATCATCAATTCTTCATTCGTACACGAGCCCGTCGTGTCTCGTACACGACGACTCAATAAAGTCGCTCGGTTGCGATCGAGCGGAGACACAATGCCGCCGTCGTCGCCGTAAATAGCTCAACGAGAAAGCGCCGAATTTTCCTCCAGGGCTTATCGCCATTATTGCGGTCACGAATCGCCCCGGGGCGACAGACTGTAATTGCCGGACGTGCGGGGATAGCTAATGGCGGCGAGACGGTGCGAACTCGGTATCGATAACGCGTCGCGAACATGTTAATCTAGGATCTATCGTGCAGTGATGTCACCCTCTCTCCCGTGGCGGGGAATCTGATCGGACGGTTCGTCGATTGCAGGATCGTCCACGGATATCGCCGCGACTCGACGACTTCGCAGATAGCGATCGATATAACTCGTGAGGCCATTAAGATAGAAATTAAACGCGAAGCACACGAAAGGGAGACGAATGGTCGCACATGAAATCGATTCGGAGAAATGCGACGATCAATTCTGCAAATGTGTCTCGCAAAATATGTCTCGACACGACTGCTAGACCTGAAGCGCCATTTGCGGCGCGTTTGTTCTCCTTGTTAGAGGAAAATCAACAAAAAATGAAAAGAGAAGGAGAGAAAGAAAGAGAGAGAGAGAGAGAGAGAGAGAGAGAGAGAGAGAGAGAACTCTAACCTACCGGCAACCGAATGGCAAGAGAAATGCTAATTTTTTGACGATCTATTTTAACGATTTAAGGCAAAATAGACCTTTGTAAAATCAAAGGTATCCGCTGTCTCACCCGACGTGACATTCTGAAGATTTATGAAACATCTATAGACAGATCTATAGCATCTGAGAATCTAGAGAATAATTGTTCCGACTTGTTCGTGAGCAACACAAATGTCGGCGAGTAGCAAACCCTATGCTGCCTACTACAAACGCTTACGAACGATTCGAAGTGAAAGAAAGATGTCTCAATAGAAATTCCCAACATATCTTAATGGTTAAAAATGATTAAAAATGATAGAAATTCCCAACATATCTTAATGATTAAAAATGATTAAAAATGATATAAATTAAATTCGAATTTTAAAATTGTAGATTTGGATAAAATTCACTCTCTTTCTCTCTCTTGTAATACAATGTAAAACTTAAATAATACTAATCTTTAATTGACAGAAAAGTATTAACTGTAAACTATTTTGTGCTACATCTAACGTATTTCATATGTTCCTAATTTTTGTGCAACAAAAATTATTTAACAAGATAAATATATAAACAAATAACACAAACAATACATCAGAAATTGACACAAAAATGCAATAGTTGGACAGTATTGCGTTGCTTTAACACTTGTAAGTGGTGAACCACGAACTCAACGCAGAATAGTCAAGATAACACAACAAGTTGACACACGGGAGTATGTGAAGAATTTAGCACAAAAATTTCCACACCCAAATACAAGATGTTTTTTCACACCCAAGATGTTTTTTCACCGTGTGTTACAGAGGTACATCATCGTTTGTCGAAGATGGGGAATCCAAGAAAGAGAGAGAATTTCTCGCAATCGGGGGAGAGCGCGGGTTCCTCCTACGAAATCCGCCATACTTGCGGACGCAAGGTTACGCCGGTGGAAAGAGGCATTTTCGAGGTAATTTCGAGAAGAAATAAGCCCCGTCCGGGCGCTCTGCCATTTGCGGCAGTTGGCTAATTCCAGGCCCATCCTAAGTTTTACGGCCGACCGTGAATAACACCACGAAAAGGATCGCAAGGGAGGTAGACTCCGCGTCGTCGCGTCGACGGAAAATCTCTGTGCGGCGCGTTTATCCGCGGCGGGAAATCTCGGGCGAAGGCAGAAAGCTCGATACACAATGCTCGCGTTGCGGTTACACGCCTCGAGAATTAAGACACGAGCAAATTGAACATAAGCTGCTCTCCGCAGAGGAGAGAAAGAGACATTGTTTACCGGCTTTATATCCTCCGGGAAGGACAATTCTCGCCGAGGGCGCGCAGTGTTCGTCGTGCAAAAGTGGCTGACGGTCTGGATGATTCGTCCGAATTCACGTGACGATTCGATGACACTTTTACGATTCGGGAAACGCAATAAGAGAAAGAGTTTGGTATTTGTGACTGCAATTGCGCGATGAAATAATTTCTTCGATATTTTTCATCTCCCTGGAAATATGTACGATTTTTGCAGCTAGACAAATGGCACAAATGTCAATAAGTCACTGCGTGACGATCCGCTCGCTTTTGTTGCCGCCGACCGGCGCAACCGGACAGTAATAACGAGCGTCATTGCGATTGCGTGTGCATCGCGCGCGCGTTACACAATCGGCGAACGCGTACCTCGCCCCCTCCCTTATTCCGGCGGGACACGCTGGATCGCGTAAAAATGTAATAATGGAATGGTATAGTTTATTGCCCGCGTCAAGATCGTATCGTGTCATTGTTCGGAGTTTCTTTGTAGAACGGCAGCCGAGCAAGGAGCGGAATAGAATGAGGTGCCGCGGCTCGGCGCGGCTGCTCAAACATGGCCGATGACGGTCCCTACGGGCGAGTCATTCCCGCACACCCCTCGCGTTTTCTCCTTTGTTCCGCGACGCAATTTTCTCCACAATATCGCGATTTGACATGCGCTCGCGCGCGACGCCACCACCACCACCACCACCGTCAACGCTACCATCATCATCATCATCGCCACACATGTTTTCCCTTTCGTCAGAAACAAAAATCGCAGCTGATCCAGATCAAAAGACACAGTATCTCGCACAGAGTTACACAGAGAAAAAATAGTTGAAAATTTTGGAGATTGTGGGATATAAAATTTATTCGTAGAAATTAAGGCTCCTCGCATTGTTTATCTCTTTTTAATGACATCAGAAGTAAGAAAATGTACGCTAAAAATTCTTATGAAATACGTTAAAATTAAAATATAAATCCATAACGTGATAAACGTAAATTAACGTAACATACAATTCATCTTTTAAACCTATTTCTTTGCCTGTTTCTATTCAGATTAATTTACAATAAATTATTGATTGTTAGAGCAAAAGAGGAGTGCACGGAATATCTTACAAATTTGTTTAATCGATTGCAAGTGTTACTTTATGGATATATATTTTTATTTCAATGTATTTCGCAAGAATTGTTAGCATACATTTTCTCGTTTCTGACATCATTAAAAAGGGATAAACAATGAGAGGGGTCAGGAGCCTTAAGAAAAAGAAAGTAAATTTTATTTCCCAGAAAACAGAAATAAACTTCATCAGGAATAAATTTTTTCAGATATTTTTTTCAATGTATTGAGAATCGTAAAATATCTCAAAAATTGAATACCAGACTTCTTCACTTTTTCTCTCTCTTGCATGTGTTTCCATACATTCATTTTTTCATATATTTACTTCTTCATATCTTTGTTCTTTCATTTTAATTCATTATTCTGCTTTCATTTTATATTTTCATTTTATATAATTCTGCTCGGATGGGGGAACTTCCGATTTTCTTTTTGGGAAAGTTAATTTTACACGGATTATAGTTAACCGACGGCGATCGTGTAGCTCACTTACTGCTCCGATTATAACGCGCGATTAAATTGATATTACGCGCACCGACGGCGGCTTACGATACAGTCGCCGTCGTCGTCGCGATCCATCCGGGCGATAAAGTAAATTCCGTCATCAAACACGCATCATTTATCCGGACCTGCGTCTCTCTTTCTCCCCTAGTATAATTTTCTCGTTATAGACGAACGATTAAAGCCGCCGTCCTATCCTGTCGAATCTGCCTCGCCGTCGTTTTCAGCGGATATCCCATTCGCGATGTCGCGAATGTCGGACAGGAGACGTGGACATTGGCGTGTACGCATCACACCACGCGGCGCCGGATAACCGACGCTGGACAATGATATTATCATAGACGTTCGACTTGCTCACAGTGCATCGCCATCGTTCATCGTTAACACGACTACGGCACCACTTCGCAGCCTCTCTCTCTCTCTCTCTCTCTCTCTCTCTCTCTCTCTCTCTCTCTCTC